GGGATGGAATTCCCAGATTTGCTGTGGCTGCCCCTGGATCCCTGGCAGTGCCCAAGGCCAGGCTGGACATTGGGACAGTGGGAGGTGACCCTGCCATGGCAGGGGTGGCTCTGGGGGTGATCCTTACGGTGCCTCCTCACCCAAACCCTTCTGGGATTCCTGAACATGGACCCGGTGCCATCTCCACAGGTGCCAGCTCTGTTGAAGTGTTCCCTTGTCTTGCCGGTCTCCCCAGCTGCCTCAGGCTGATGTTGACGGTGCTGTAGGGGAGGATGTGGGGGCTCAGGCAGTTTTGGGGACCCGTGTGCAGGGTCAGTGCCAGGAGTGGGGATCAGGGGGTCTCCAGGGCCAGGTCAGCACCTCCCCTCTCCTCTCCCTCGCTGTCGCTTCTCTCCCCCTCGCTCCTTTCCTTTCCATTCGCCTCCCATTCCGCTCCCCCGTCCTGTTCCTGGGCCAGGGCCGGGGTCCCTCACCCCCTCACCCCCTCCCCTGTGCCCGGGCACGCTGGCCCAGCCGGGGCCGTGTGTGTGGCCAGCAGCCACGGGGCCGGGAGGGGCGAGCTGTGCCTTGGCATTTCCCCCTGCTCCTGCCTCCAGTGTCCGGAGCGGCTCCGGGAGCCCCCCGGGCATGGCCGGCAGGCACAGGCTGGGCACAAAGCCCTGCAGGGCGGGGCTGGGCACCGGTGAGCCGGGCACGGGGCGGCTCCGGGGGGCACGCACGGATGTGGCGAGGGCTGAGGGACCCCCGGGGGATCTGGGGGGACACCGGGCTTGGGGCGAGCTGGGATCCATGGGGAGGGCTGAGGCTCCACCCCGGTTCTGGATAAATAGATTGTATCTATTCTATATATTATATCCATAATATATATCTATTCTATATATTATATCTATTAGATCTGTTATATCTATTATACGTCTTATATATATTATATATAGTTATATATATATCATATATATATTTATATATTTTATAAATTATATACATATTTGTGTCCTCGCTCCCTCCAGCTGCTCGGGGTGCTGGCGGTGAGCCCCGTGCCGGCCATCCCTGACCCCGAGGGGCAGAGCCAGGCTCGGGGTGGCCAGGGGTGGCCAGGGGCTCAGTGCCAGCCTCTCGGGGGGTCCCTGGGGGTCCCCTGGCCCCCTCAGCCGCCGTCCCATCCGTGTGTGCGGGGCTGGCCGGGCGGGGCCGGCACTGACCCCCGTGTGTCTGTGCCTCCACCGCAGAGATTTAACTCGCTGCGACTCCGACTCCTCCATCCCGCACCTGAGCGAGCACCAGCGCATCCCCAGCTCGGCGCCCAAGCTGCTGGCCGCCCGGCCCACGCTGCTGAGCCGCTCCGTGGAGGAGGCTGTGCCCGCGGCCCCGGGCCCCGCCGTGCCCACCCCCAACGGCGGCAGCCGCCACGGGGAGCCCCCCGCCCTGGCGGCTTTGCAGGAGCGGCTGCCCGAGAGCCCCATGGCGATGAAGAAGATGATGATGGTGAACCACGGCATGGAGAAGTCCTCCAGCCTGGGGGAGATCAGCCACCCGACGGCGGCCGGCAAGCCCAGCCACTCGGATTCGTCGCGGTCGCACAGCCCCAGCTCCACCGAGCCCGACACCCCCTCCCCCATCTCTGACTGCCGGCCCAGCGGCGCCAGGAACACCCGCATCCCGCAGCTGGCCGCCAAGAAGAGCCCGGGGGACGAGGACAGCAGCCTGACGGGCGACGAGGTTGACCTCGGCCAGAGCAAGAAAAAGTTCCCCCTAAAGATCTTCAAGAAGCCCAAGAAGTAGGGGTTTGGGGGCGGGGGGGGACACCCCCGGACGCGTCCCCGCCGGGCCCGGGGCCGGCCGTGCCCCGGCACCCCCCGCACCCCGAGTCACCCCCGGCGCCGGCACGGCAGGAGCTATTTAAACTTATTTATTTCCTCATCTCCGAGACGAGAAAGCTGCGAGGCCGCCGGCTCCCCCGGGAGAAGAGCCGCCCCTGCCCTCCCTCCGCCCGCTGCCGTCCCGGCTTTGCTGTGCATGGCTTCCAGTTACTCCTGCTCCGCTCAGCCACGCGGCCTTTGGGTTTGGTTTCAATGTGGTTTTGTTTTATTTTTTAATTTTATTTTTTATTGTTGTTATCAATTTGTTTTTCCTGCCTCCTCCTCCAACTTTTTTGCACAGGCTGATGGAGGGTCCGGGGCTGCTCGGCTCCTCCCCCGGGGTGACTCTGCTCGCAGCGCTTCTCCCTCATTTCTCCGAGTCACTTTTCCTCCCCGGCCCCCTCGGGGATGGGGATCCCGTCCTGAGCAGCTCTGGCCCTGCGGGAGCAGGGAGGGCTCTGCCCTTGCCGGTACTCGTGTGCTCCACAATGTCCCCAATGTCCCCAGTGGGGCTCGGGGGACGGGGCTGTCCCCTCACCGCTCTGCCGGTGCCCAGGGAAGGTGGGGACGCTGCGGGCGAGGGGAGGAGCCCATCCCTGTCCTTGGCTTTACTGCCCCGGCCACCCTCCCCAGCCCCCTGCACTCCTCCAGACCCGCCGTGCCCCCGGCTGGGGACCCTGGTGACAAGGGACAGTGAGGGCAGGGCCATCCCCAGGGGTGTTGGTGCCAGCTCCAGCTGCCACAAACACGCCAAGAGCAGGGGGCTCCCGGGAGCAGGGCTGTCCCCTCTGTCCCCTCTGGTGTCCCCTGTCCTGGCTGGGCAGGGCCAGAGGGAGGGACCAGGACACAGGGGGCTCTCCAGGGCAGGGGACAGGCTGTGCCTGGGTGGCAGGACCATGACAGAGTCCTCGTCCCCTGGAGCAGGCTGAGGGACACAGGAGGCTCCCACAGGCAGTGTCCCCTCGCCCCGAGGCCACACACCGGGGTGTCCCTGGCTGTGCCGGCCGTGCCCGCTGCCAGCACAGCCTGACCCGGCTCTCAGCCCGTCCTGAGCCGCTCCCAGGGGCTGTCCCGTCCTCCCTCAGCACGCTGTGGGTCACATCCTGCAGCTCACAGCCCCTGCCTCACCTCGGGGCGTCCCCCATCACAGCCCTGGCCACTGAGCAGGTCCCCAAATGGGGCTGAGTTCCCACTCCCTCCTAGGGCTGAGCCTGGCCCGAGGGATGAGCCCTGCTCCATCCCTGGGCATCCCTGCTCCATCCCTGGGCCCTGCTCCATCCCTGAGCTCTGCTCCATCCCTGGGCTCTGCTCCATCCCTGGGCCCTGCTCCATCCCTGGGCTGAGCCCTGCTCCACCCCCTTGCCCCCTGTCCCAGCTCCTCCAGGAGCATCCCCCAGCCCCGGGGCTGCCAGGGGACCTCCTTGCCCCCCTCCCACCCCACTCGAGGTGGCTCCCTGGCACCAGATGTCCCCCAAGCCCAGGGTCCCTGTCCTCTCCACCCCCTCCATCCCCATCCCACACATCCTGGGGGTGGGCAGGGGGCTGCTCCTGCCGAGGCAGAGGAGGATGCACGATGTGGGGAGGAAGAGGAGGCCGGGCAGAGCCCTGGAGCCTTGCTTTATGCCAGAGTAATATATTTGTGTCTTGACAATTCAGGAAGGGCTACAAAGGTGTTTTTTGTTCCGTAGGTGGGAGTTAAACAATTTCACTGTTGCTTTGGGATAAGTGAAAAATTCCTCTCAATGACTTTTTAAGTGCCTGCATTTCCCTGGGGACGGGGGGGACACGCTCGGCCCCACAGCCAGGGCTGCTGCCCGGGCACCCCAGCTCATGGGCACCCCGATTCTGTGGGCACCCCAATTCATGGGCACCCTGATTCTCTGGGCAACCCCATGCTTTGGGCACCCCGATTTGTGGGTACCCCGGTTCTGGGGGCACCCCAGTTCGTGGGCACCCTGATTTTAGGGTACCCCAATTCTGGGCTCACCCTGCTGTCACAGGCAGGGGCTGGCAGGGTTGGGGCCGGAGCTGCTTGTGGTGGTGGCAGAGACCTGTGGATGCTTCTGGAGAAGGGGTTGGGGATCCACCAACTGTTGACACATCTGCCAACTCTTGATTTAAGATGGGTTTTTTTTGTTTTTGTTTTGTTTTTTTTTTTTTGTCATTTCATAAAACTTTTCAATCCAATAAAGCATGTAGTCTATTTTACGAGCTGCTGGCTGCTGCTCTCTTCTTGCAGCCCTTCCCTGGCTTCCAGCACAGAGGGATTGGGGCATTGGGTGCCTGCTGGGGATGTGGTCCTGGCCAGGTCATTGGGGACAGAGGGACAGCCCAGCTCCCCCCTGCACAGGGCACTGTGATCATCCTCACCCACAGGAGCTGGATCACTCTAAAAAACTCCAAAAACCTTCTATTTCAAACTCCAACAGGGACAGCTCCGTGGGCAGCAGGTCCTGCTCACAGAGTCCCCCAGAAACACCTCTGAGGTGCAAAATGCCAGGAAAAGCAGTGGAATACACTGGGCTCAGTGCTTGGCATCTGCTGGGGTGTGGGATGGTGATGGCACAAGGGGAGCAGCAGCCATCCCATGGGATGTGCCCCCCGTGTTCCCTCTCCAGTGCACTGACATCTCCATCTCTGTGACATCACCAACACCCTTCTGGAGGAGATCCTGCTCCCTGCAGCCTCAGCCTGCCCATATTTACCCTGGAAAATCACATTTTCCAGGGGAGAAATCAGCGTTTCCCAAGCCTGACCTGTCCAGGTGACAAAGTTCCTGCACAGCCTTGGCTTCACTCAAACCCCACAGCCCCTGGGGCTGGCTCCTCATTAGCCTGGCGCTCATTAGCGCTCATTAACACTCATTAGGGCACGAGGCAGGGCTCCGGGCACCTGCTGGGGGTGGCACCAGGGTGTCCCTGCTGTGTCCTTGGCGCTGGGTCACTGTCCCCAGCCCTGTCAGGGAGCTGGGGCAGGGACAATGGCTCCATTTCCCAGTGGGAACAGGGCCAGCAGTGGCCCAGGGCTCGCTCAGCAGGGCTGGGGCAGCACCCCCAGTTTTCCTCTGCACCCCATTCAGAAATGAACCAGCTGTTCCATCCACTCCTGCTTTCACAACAGGGTGAGTAAAGCTCAGAGGAGAACCTAAGGACAAACATCTGTGGGTGCAGCTCGGGCTCCAACCAGCCCACAATGCTGGATTATTTTCCTTCTGTAGGGCCTTTTCCCATCAAACAGAGGCACCAGCCCAGCTTTATTCCCATTCCTGATCAGTGCCAAGCATTCCCTGTGCCCCATGTTTGAGGGATGGCTCTCTGATGGCTCACCTGGGGCATTGGGACTGAGGAACCCCCAGTGGTTCCAACGCCCTCACCTCGGAAGGGACAGTGGCCCATCCACAAGCAATAAAAAATGGAATTTCCAGCCCCTTGGAGCCCTGAGGTGTCTCTCTGAGCCGCTCAGGAGCAGCCTCAGCTCAAGGGTAACTTGCCTGGTGATGGTTCGTTGTTCTGTCATGGAGCAAACCCCAACATTTCTGGGGTGGTGCCACATTTGGCTGCATTTCCTGTACCCCCGATGTGGGAGCAGCTCAGCCTGACCCTGCAGGCAGGGGGGACCCAGGGAAGGGGAACCTCCCAGGCTTCAGACCACAGACCCAGAGATGTTCTCCTGCCAGCCTGGGCTCCCAAGAGCCACAGCTCCCAGTTCCTGAGACACTCAGGGCAGGATTGGAGAGGAGCTGATGGTGTTTGGGCTTGGATTCTGCTCAGGAGCCTCAGCAGTGCCTGGGTGCTGCTGCCCCTGAGCCCTCACTTGCAGATCCATGGAATGTTTGGGTTGGAGGGACCTTAAAGTTCACCTTAAATATCCCAGCCCTGCCATGGCAGGGACACCTTCACTGTCCCAGTGTCCAACCTGGCCTTGGGCACTGCCAGGGATCCAGGGGCAGCCACAGCTGCTCTGGGCACCCTGTGCCAGCCCTGCCCACCCTGCCAGGGAACAATTCCTGATTCCCAAAATCCCATCAAATCCTGCTTTGAAGCCATTCCCTGTGTGCTGTCCCTCCATCCTTGTCCCCAGTCCCTCTCCAGCTCTCCTGGAGCCCCTTCAGGCCCTGCCAGGGGCTCTGAGCTCTCCCTGCAGCTTCTCCTGTCCAGGTGAGCACCCCCAGGTGTCCCAGCCTGGCTCCAGAGGGGCTCTGCAGGTGCAGCTTTGCTGCTTTTGAACCTGGGAGAGAATTTTGTGTAATTTCAGCTCTTTCCCTGCTGCTCCTGAGCCCTGGGCCACCGCAGCCCTTCCATGGCAGAGCCTCAGGTTGTTCCTCGGCAATTGTCCCTTGGACAACTCCAGGGACGGAGACTCCACCACCTCCCTGGGTAGTGGGATCCAAAATTTAATCGCACATTTCACGCGTGGGCCTTGATTTAGGATAATGAAAATAACCATAGTTATTCTTTTGGCGTTTCAGGACGAGGGTGTTTTGTCCCTTCGCGGCCTCTGTCTTTGGCACCCTCAGCTCCGTCCTGTCCCTGCGTCTCCTTCCCCGGAGGGGCGGGGGGAGCGCAGGCGCCGCCATCTTTGAAGCGGGCGGGATTCGCAGTGTTCCCCGGCGGGGCGGAGATTCCCGGGGGGCAAAGCGGGGAGAATATCGGGATGAGGGACGGCATCAGTGTCCGCCAGCGGCCACAGGCAGCGCCGGGAGCGGGGCGGGGCGGGAAGGGGCAAGGCAGGGCGACCGTGCCCGGAGGAAAGATGGCGGCGGGCGCCTCAATGGGGCGGGGCGTGCGCGGCGGGCGCGGGAAGCTGCGGGCGCGGAGCTGCAGGGAGACATCGAGAGTGAGGGAGGGAGGGAGATCGAGAGGGACCGGGGGGGATCGAGAGGGTCCCGGAGGGTCTGGGGGGGAGCGAGGGGGTCCCGGAGGGTCTGAGGGGGATCGAGAGGGTCCCGGAGGGTCAGAGGGGGATCAAGAGGGACCGAGGGGGACTGAGAGGGAGCGAGCAGGAGTGAAGGGGTCTGAGAAGGAACGAGCAGGACCGAGAGGGTCTGAGGGGGACTGAGGGACTGCGAGGGGACTCGCAGGACTGCAAGGGACCGAGAGGCGCTGAGGGGGACTCTCCGCCGCCATGCACGTCGTGAAGCGAGGTGAGGAGCGCTCCCCCCCGCCCTGGGGGGCTGCTCTGGGGGTCCCCCCGCCCCTGGGAGGTCACACACGGTACCGAGCGTCGGGGATGGGGTGGGGGGCACTGAGCTGCCCAGGGTGTGGGCACGGCACCCCTCGGCTTCAGGGGTCCCTCGTGGGATTCCCTCGTGGCAGCTGCAGGGGAATCCCTCCCCCGTTCTGGGCTTCCCGCGTGGCCCACGGAAGGATGGGGTTCCCTCTGCCATTGGGGGTCCCTTGCGTGTCACCCAAGGTAAGCGGGTGGGAATCGCCCCCATTTTGGACGGGTCGCTCACGGCGTGTGAGGGATGGGTCCTGCTCAGCTTTGGGGGTACTTTATGGCACATGGCCACGTGAGGGGATGAGCCCCCTTTGTCTTTGGGGATCCCACTCATGGCACACACAGGGAGCAGAGAGGGTGCCCCCCGTCTCTTAGGGGAGTTCTGACGGGAGGATGGGCTCCCTCAGCTCTGATGGCACCTGGTGGGAGGAGATGGGCTGCCCTCAGCTTTGGGGGGAGCCCAAAGTGACACAGCTCCCCCAGACAACAGGAGTGGGGGATGAGACCTCTCCATTTATTTTGGGGCTGTCCTGGTTTAGGGCAAATTTGGAAGAAAACTTTCAAAA